CATGTGGCTCGCGAGCCACAGTTTGCCGACCACGGCCCTAGAGAAACAAGAATTTATGTTCCCACAAAAATCTGTACACAAGTGTTTACTGCAACTTTATTCTATATGGCCCCAAACTGGAAATAATCCAATGTCCTCCATCAGGTGAATGGATAAAAAACTGGTGGCATACACATATAGTGAAATATTATTCTTCAATTACAAGGAATGAACTATTAATACATGCAACAACACGCAGAAATCTCAAAAGGCATTATATTGTGTGAAATCGTGCAGACTACATGATTCCATTTATCTGGCATTCTGGAAAAGACAAAATTATAGTATGGAAAACAGAGCAGTGGTTGATAGAGTAAGGGATGGGGGAGGATATGACTACAAGGGGTGACGGGACTGTTCTGTTTCTGGATCATGGTGGTGGTTATAATGAATCTATTCCCATGTTAAAATTCATAGAATTATATATCAAATAACGGTCAATGTTACTACATGTTAAGAAGTAAAGTTTGTAGGAATGTATACTCACAAACCGAATGAAATAACTACTTTGAAGGAATTAAACATTCCATGTGGACATAAGAGAGAAGGCTGATAACCTTGCTTTGATGGGGGAAGAGGAACAGCAAGAATGGTACCAAGAATGTTTGAGGAAGTGATGCTTGAGCTAGGTTCTAAAGAGTGATTTAAAATTGATTTGGGCCAAAGGAAGCTCCATTCAGTAGAAGAAATAGCATGTGTCAAAGCCCTGGGGCAGGAGGAAGGACTACTCATTTTCATCTGAAACTGAGAGCACAGGTGTGCCCCTCGCCAATGGGAGAGGTAGTGGTGGGAAGAGGCGGAGGCTAGAGCAGTAAAAGAATCAGATTTTGCTGGGCTAAGAGTTTGGTTTTTATTCTAAGAGGGATGAGGAGCCAAAGGTTTTAGGCCAGTGGTTCTCAACCTTCCTAATGCCGTGACCCTTTAATACAGTTCCTCATGTTGTGGTGACCCCCAATTTCATTGTTACAAAGTGAACATAATTAAAGCATAGTGATTAATCACAAAAACAATATGTAATTATATCTGTGTTTTCCGATGGTCTTAGGCGACCCCTGTGAAAGGGTGGTTTGACCCCCAAAGGGGTCGCGACCCACAGGTTGAGAACCGCTGTTTTAGGCAACTGTAACACAAAATCAGACCTAGGTTTTGAAAGAGATCACTTGCACTGCCATGTGGAGAAAGGTTTGAGGATGGGGATGAGGCCTAACCAAGTATGCAGGCAACGTGGAGTTGGAAAGAACCCCTAAAATAGAGTTTCTCAATCTTGGTACTACTGACATTTTGGACCAGAAAAATCTTTTTGTATGGGGGGCTGCCTCAACGCCTGCCTTATCCAGGGCTGGGGGTGGGGCCAGAAAATGATACAGATCAAAGTTGTCAGTTGACCATTTGATGACATTTATCCTGAAGAATCCTTTTGCAAAATACATACCCCAACCCAAAGTTTTGTGATGTCACAAGGCCCGGAGAATGGTTTAGTTTACATACAGTGGGTAGGCATATTAAAGATTTCAGCTAGATTTTTTACCGGCCAATTTTAGGACTATTATTATTCCCATTTTAGAGATGAGGACACTGAGGCTTTGGTCAGTGTCTTGAAAAGTCACAAAGACACTATCTCGCTCCAGAATGGCCCAACTTTAAAACCGGGGACCACAGATTCTCAAACCTTAGTGTTTGAGTCCCTGGTAGAAAGTTTACTAAAATGCCGATTCCTGGCCCCACCCCAAAGCGTCTGATTCACTGGGCCTGGGTCCAAGCTGAGGAATGTGCATTCCCCAAGCACCGGTTAAATCTCAACCAAGCACCTGACAGCTCTCGGCCCTCCCTCTCCTCTAACCCAGGGATTCTGGGGCTGTCCCAGGGTCTCAGGTAGCAGAGGTTGGGGGGAAAGGGCGGGGCCAAATCCGAAGAATTTGGGGGATTTTGCAAATGCCCTGGAGCCGGGGAAGAACTGTAACATCGCGGGGCTCTAGGAAGGCAGGTCCTGCGCTGCCACCAGGGCCAGGAGGGGGCTCCGGGGAGGGAGTGGGCTTGAGGGCGCTTGGTGAAAAGGCCCAGGGCCCAGTGCCCCACACGCTCACCTGCCTCGAGGTGCGCCCAGGGTCCAGACTGGTCACCGAATAGATCCGTCGTGTTTCCCTCATTCCAAGGACTTTCACTTTCCCCCTTTGACAAAACCTGGTACCCCCAAGCCAAAAAGACCTGGCTAGACCCTCCCCTCGCGGGGACCGGCTCCCAGCGCGCAGGGAGGGCCCGGAAGTCGGCCGGGCCGAGG